CAAACAAAAGAGAGGTTGAAAAAGTACATGAACATTGACACTAGTTGTATATTATGTGATAAGGGAGAAGAAAACATAGAACATCTCTTTTATAAGTGTGATGTCACACAAAGAGTTTACACACATGTGTTTGGTTGGCTGAACTACAAGATTGAAGGTGCAAATCTTAAAGAATTTGGTGAGAAAATAATGAAGATGCAGAGGGCAAGGCGAAGAGAGATAGCCATGGCAGTTTGGAGGGCTGTCTGTTATATTGTATGGCAAGCCCGAAATGCTAAAACTCATCAAAAAGAAATGAAGGAAGAAGAGATGTTAGCTAGTATTAAATTTACGTTACAAACTGTTATGTTGCAAAAAGTAGTAGACTAGAAAGGTTTTTGATTATTGTTTGTAACATGTTTGATTGGAGTGATATAAAAGATAGTATTTCTGTGCAAAAAAAAAAATTAAATTGTATATTTATTATTCACATGGTCAAACTTTACTAAACTTTCTTTTGCTATTTTCGTAAGTCATTTGATAAAATAATATAATCATATCACCACTAATTTTGTAAATCTTTAGGTGTAGTTTTTAAATATATAATTTTTATTTTTTAATTCTACATCATTTTTCTATAAAATAATTTAAAAATAACTTAGTCAAATTTCATAAATCAAAATAGGTGATATAAATTAGAACGAATGGAGTGACACAGAAAAAACATTATAGTCCAATGCTTCAACACTTCAACACATGAATCTTGGTGATTGAAATTTAATAAGTCTCAATTAGAACTAGAGCGGGCAAACCGGTCGGATTCAGGTTCAGTTACTTCAAGTTCGGATTATTTTAGATTCGGGTTCATTCGAGTTCGGGTTGAGAATCTATATATTCATGACCTCATGTCATCAAGTTCGGGTCGACCCAACAAGTTATGATTTTGAATTTTAAAATTTTAAATTTACATTAACACTTACATTTTCTCTTAAATAAATTTAAAATATCAAAAAAATGTTAAATTTATAAAATTATTTTATTTTAAATTCTGAAGTAATTCTTAGATATATAAATCATTATAAGGAATTTAAAAATGTTTAAGTTTTGGAAAAAAGTAAGATATTTATGTAATATCATAAATTTTTGTCTGAAAATACAAACTTATACACTAAAAACGAGTAATAAAGTGTATGATTTTGAAAAATTCTTACTTTAGCGGGTCGGTCAGGTCGCGTTCGAGTTCGGTCGGGTTTGACCCATTTTTAACGGGTCATTTTGGATTTGGTCATCAAAACATTTGTTCAAAACTCAGTATTTTCAGGTCAGTTTCAGGTCCAAAACAGGTCGGATCATTTTTTGTCAGGTTTAATTAGACCATAAAAATTTAACACTAATAATTCGGCGCAAAAGTTAAGAGTCAGATTAATGGCACAATTAAAGAAGCATTTGAATGAGATCAAATTTAGCCCAAACCCTATACTTGAAACAGTTGAAAGATTGAAAAGCCACGCACAACCGAAGCCATGTGAAAGAAGCCACAACAAACAACAAGATTTGGCGCTGTATATACAAAAGGAAAAAAAAGAGGGGCACTTTTGCAATATTAGAAATTGACATAAACGCGACTGGAAGCACGCACATCGTTTGAGTGCGTGCGGTCCCACGCTCCTAAACCTCGCAACGACGTCGTAGTAGGCCGGGGGGTTGTGACTACTACGCGATGCATCTCATGGAGTGCATCGGGTCGGGCGTATCGAGTGCGGGCGTACCGTAGACCCTAGTGTGGTCCGTCTCCACGCCGTAGTCCATCATCGGACGGTACTCCAGATCGGCGTCGTGATCGTGGACGTACTCCGGGATCTGGATCGCGTTCCTCCTCACGTGCTCCCACAGATAATCCAGCCTCGTCACGTACCTCAGCTTTGCGTATAACCTGCCAATACAAACAAACGAACACGATCGATCAATTGCTAAATCAATTGGAGTGATTAGGGTTAAATCGATCGGAAATTCGAGAGAAATTACCCTCCGGAGAAGATGAGCCGGCCAAAGGTGGCCAGAAAGAGCCTGGACTGAAGGCCTGGGTGGACGAAGTACACGGCCTCGAGATTCTGCCGGACGGGGGCGGGAATGGAGTCGTAGACGGACCGCAGGGCTGAAATTCCGGGAAAGTTCTCGCTCTTCTCGACGCCGGTGTGGAAGTAGAGCACCGCGAACGGCCGGTTATCGAGCTCCGGGAACACCTTCTCACGGAGGTACTTATTCACGACGTCAACGCTCACGATCCTCGCTGATCGGCGAAAAAAAAACGGAAATCAGCACATGAAACTTCAAATTCCAAACAAAAAAAAAAGCGGAATATAATCGATTGTTCGTACCAGGGAAAAACTTAGCGAAGATCTGGAGGATTTTGCGGCCGCGCTTATCTTTGCCTTTGATCTTGAAAACCTGGAGATCCTGGAGGAGCTGCTCTTGATCTGGAGCGGGAATCATGACGACGGTTAGAAGGAAGAATTTGCGGTTCGAAGTAAGAAGAATGAAGAAAGAGAGAGAGAGGTTCGTGATTTATATACTCCGGAAGGGTACGGTACAGTGAATAGATATATTGGGGGGAAGGGAACAAGGGATGGGGGAGGAGAGAGAGAGAGAGGGGATAAGAAAACGACGGGCGAAAGGCGGTGTAATGTAGGCGCGGATAGGAGGAGGAGGTGATTGAAGGAGAGTGGGGCCCACGGAGGAATATTCGGAAGGATCTTCCTTTTTGTACCGATGTGACGTGGCGTGACGGCTTTTTGTTTTTTTTGTTTTTTTTTTTTTACAAATCCGTTACGTTGCCCAGACCACGCTCCATAGTCCAAACTGGAAACCCACTTGTTGGAAGGTGAGGGAAAGGAGCCGGTCCAAGTTCTAAGTATTTTGCCTTTTGAGATGGGTTGAACTTTCAAGGTCATGCACTCATGCTTGGAACACTCAAATTTGATCTTACTTTTGATATCATTATTTTTTATCTCACAAGATTGGGCTTCAGAATTCAATGATATGAATCAAGACAAAAAAAATGATCCAAAAAATCTTACTGAAATTGATCTAATGAATTAAAGTATGTAAACTAGTTATATTTAAATGACAGTTGATGTAATATAGTATTACAACAAAATGAGTAAATGATAAAATCATAGTAATATAATTATATGTCGTAATCGGTAAGAGGATTCATCAAAGTTCTCATAACGTTCTTGAGAGCAAATTAGTTGATCACATGCATATCTACGCATTCTATGCTCTCTAAAATTTCATTCTCGATACCAATTATGGTCAATCTGATAAGTCTTTCTTGAGACATTGTGGGCCGTAAGTAAGATTTCATCAACTTCAATTTGGAAAACTTTGCACCGTGGAGGTTCTAACAGAGGCAAACGCAAAAGCCTCATACAAAAGTTCAAGCTTACATGCTTCTCATGGAGACACTCTGTCTGTACTTTCTTACAATCCCGAGCAGTTCATAGGCGATGCCAAGAGTGATCAAGAATTGAATCAGCTCATGAGCGGCATGGCAGACAGGAATGATGTCAATCTTCAAACTCTTGAGGATATTTTTGAGGACGTTGAAGAGATGGAGAAACCAAAACCCGAGAGCAACAATCCTACTGGAGAGGATGACGACATAGATGAGCCCGAGACCTCTGAAGGTTTGGGTAATGGTAAAAAACTTAAATCTAATTTATTTGTATACCATTTTCATAAAAATACAAAAAATATGTTAGTTGTTGAAACTTATAAACATTGTGGGGCAACCATAAAATGAGAACTTCTGGTGGTTATAGTGGAACTTGTAAATATTGTGGGGGCAAACAGAGTATCCATATTTGACCAAAAAAATCAAAAAATGAAATATTATTAGAACGGGAGGGAGTATAATCTAATCAAATTGTTAAAATTTTTAGAATACTCTATATGAGTTCATATGAAGCCTAATATTAAAAAAAAGTATAGAAATTACACTCAATTAGTGGAGTGAAGTTATAGTTTTAATGAGTTGTAACTATCACCATCCTTTTATGTTATCGACTAATTACTTCCCCCAAATCACTGTTGTCAATGGGTTGACTACATTTAGCTTTTTTCTTATGGTCGTCTCAAAATTTTCTACTACATTTTTTAAATAAAAATTCTCTCTTATTTCTACAAACAACTACAAATTTTTCTTTATAAAAAATTATGTGATATAGTTCTAAAATTCAGACAGTGATATAGTCCTAAAATTCAGATGATGATCCTCTAGCCGAAGCTACAACAAACACTTGTAGAGTCACTCAGTCACATAAGTCGCACATTTAAGTTGTTAAAAAGATAATGCATTTTTTTTAAGGGAAGAATGCATTTAATTTATTATGGACTTGAAGAATTGCATTCATTTTTTTTGATTTATTAAATTGCTCATGTAAGAACATACATAATGGGAGAGGTTAAAAAGAAGAAAGAAATACAAATACTAATTAAGTCAAACCAAATAGAAACCTAACTAAAAAAATTAATAATGGATTGGACAAAGTGGAGAAACTGGTTGTCAATAAATAGGCCAAAAAATTCTAAAAATGGTTTTGTCCGGAGTGAGAGTTCGCCGAGTGATATCAAATTCGGTGCTTCAAGCAAATTTTTATATTGGCAAAAATGACATTTTTGCTATAAATACTTCTTTCGTGTAAAATAGTAGCAATATATTATAATTTCAGCTCGACTTGATACACAATGAATTTTTAATATTTTCAATTTTATTTTAGTAAAATTTATTGAAAAATTGATATACTCCCTCCATCCTAATTTAAATCACATATTGCTTACAAGGTTTGACTAAAATTATTTTCAACGTAATTTATTTGTAAATTGGCGTGAAATTTAAAAATAAAATTTATATATTTAAAAACTACACCAAAAATTTACATGTGAAATTAAAAAGAATATAGTCATTAAATAATCAAATGGTAAATGATACTCCGTATTTCACTTTCAATAACTAAGCTACATTTTCAATAACTCTACTAAACAATATGCCTATCAATGGATATTCATAACCTGTATATTAGGATACTTGATGATTATGAACAAATTTTACATTGTAATCGAATCAATATCACTAAAAAAGAATACTTGGTTATTTATACGGTCAGAATAATATAAACAGGTGTGTTAGCATATATGTCTAGAGTTCAATTGATTGTTGATTGTCGTGACATTTACATAGGACATCGAATAATCTATATATGTTCGACAATGTTTTAGTTTCGAACATATAGAGAGTAATAGACAAAATAAAATGACCCATTAAACTTCTTTTGTTTGTTACCTTTTATGGAGTTTAAAGGCAAAGTAATACGTCTTCGGTCTAACAAAAACAAACTCTACTTTTACAAGACAAGAATGCGTACCTTCGTGCATAGTAGCAACACCAAAACGAGTATACAAAAATTAGGACTTTGTTAACGTTTGTGCCAGAAGTACATGAAACATTATCCCATGTTTGGAATGAGAGTACAAAGTTTTTCATAAAAATGAGCGTTCATGAACTAAAATTTTATTGGATTTCACTTCGATCACACAGCAGTAGATACTAGTTGAATGGAAAACAGATGATTTTACTGTATTAGCAAATGAGTTCTAAGAATTATGTACAGAATTGCACGTCTCTAAGGACACCATTGACCAACCTAACATTCTATGAACAATCACACAGTTTATAGATCAAAATGGAAGCACCGAATTCACAATTATAAGCCGCGGTTTTCAGGAAAACTCTACATTTTATCAAACACACCTCATGTTCTTCAACCAAACAGCTTAGTGATGGGCTCTTCTAAAGGAATGGAAAAAGCTACCAATCGATTTTTCCTTGTGCTTCTCCTCTCCATAATCTCCAACCTGTTTTTGCCACATTAAAAAAAAGGGTTTGAGTTATTACTACCATCTTTTTTACACTGTCCAGAGCAAACACCAGCAAGATATATTTTTAGGGTAATGAATAGGTTACCCCCTTGGCAATTCGCTGCAAAATCTCCAAAATCTCTGGAAATTCGGGTCTTCGTGTGGGGTCTTGCTGCCAACATCTCTCTAGCAGTTCTGTAAGCTTAGGATGCGTGTCCTTGGGGATTGTTGGCCTCATACCCTGACAAGCCATGTAATCAGTTCAAATAAGTACACTACTCTCTGTTTATGCTTTTGCTAATGCTACATTCCGAAGGCATAAAATGATAGGGAAAGAGGGAAACCAAGTAGATAGTTTCTTATTATAAATGTTTGGTATTACCTTAATAATTACAATTATACGAGTGAACAAATATTTAAAAAATTGAATTGTGGTGATTGAATCAATTTTGCTGTTATTCTCCAAATTTTCCAGATTCTGTATGTACTCAAAAGAGAGACTTGCCTGTTGGACAACACCAAGGGCTGCTTGTAAAGGTGTCAGGAATGCATATGGAACCTGTGCGCATTTGGTTGGTTTCATAACAGGACATAAGGGCATAGCAGTATTCAGTAGTTATGGAGGAAACATGAAATGCAACAAGCACTTACTTCTCCTGTAAGAAGCTCCCACATCACTATTCCAAAGCTAAAAACATCTGCTCTGTGATCGTATGGTTTGTGCTCAATCACCTTCAATTGACAAAATCTCCAACTTTTGAACTTCCTTAGAAGGAAACTCTAGGAGAAAAGATATCCAGAAATATCAAATTTGCATATACCTCTGGAGCCATCCAGCGATACGTTCCAGTTTCTGCAGTCATGACACCAGATTGAGACTGCACTCTAGCGACCCCAAAATCACCCACCTTGACAACCTTTCAAAGTCAAGAGAGAGAACAATTCAACAGAAAGTAATGGTCCATTTGAAACCCGGAAATGTTAGGGTGGAAACTATGGTGAAAGAACAAATGTGTCCTGCCAGGGCTAATCAAGAACGTATTTTCCCCACTAATATCTTGAAATAGTCAACATGCTTTGATGAATTCATATTTACAAAGAACAGACACAATTAAAATGAAAATTAGCATGCATAATAAGCAACTTACTCCATGCTCATCCATCAAAAGATTGGCAGTCTTCAAATCCCTGTGAATTATTTTATTTTGGTGAAGATAGCTCATTCCTTTTGAAACATCAATTGCAACCTTGAGTAGAGTATGAAGCTTAAACGTTCCTTTTTGCTTGTGCAAAAAATTATACACACTTCCTCTTGACATGAACTCTGTTATTTCAACATTGGGACAGAAGCAAAGAAATACACATGTTACACTTCTAATGCTGTATGTAGTTATTACTCCGTTTAACCATAAGGCTTAGACAAATTACCAGTCACAATGCACAAGTTTGGCTGCCGTGTACATGCTCCTATAAATTGGACGACATTTTTGTGTCGGATTTTTCTAAAAGAATAAAAAATTAATATGACTGTTAAAAAAAGAGTAGAAGAAACACTGCCTAAAAAACTGGAGGCAATACAGAACTGAGAAGGTTAATTTTAATTTAAAATGCCAGAAGAATGTTCTCCATATAGTATCACATACTTTCATACATTCTCATGATTTACCATGTCAAAAATTCATATTCTTCACTTTTCCCCTAATTAAATCATCCTCAGTGAAGGACAAAAGGCTGATTACAGCTAAGTTGGGCACTTTCTCAAGAATAAGAAGCCCAAATGGTTTCAGTTACAAAAGCAAAAGAAAAAGAACTATGTCATAGAAAAACAATATGATGATAATTATTAAAAAAAACAGCAACATCACTAACAATAACAATAACCACAATAATAATACCTCCTCTATCCCTAAATAAATTTCACATTTCGGTTTATGATAAATAATTATTATTATTTATTAATTTAATTCATTTAAAGATTTCTGTAGAATTTTTAAAAATGAAATTTACGGAGTATATGTTTAGAAACTACATGAAGTCTATAAAACAAAAGGTAATTTGTAACAAATGATTGAAGCAAATAAGTAAGGAAAGAAGATATAGTTTGATCATGTGAACAATAAAAGTGATGTTTATTAACAAAAGGAGTGACTGAGTAATAGGCATCATAAATCATACAAATAAAACGATACCCTGCACTATACATCTAACATAGAGTCAGTAAATAATAAACCTTGAACAATTATTGAACAAACCTCATGATGAAGACCTCCTGAGAGAACTCTTTTAACATATCCGTACTCAAATCTGCCTTAAGGACTTTAATGGCCACATCCTGACTACAATATGTACCTTTATATCTGCAAAGGGCACATAAGATGATCTACTAAGACTGTACACACTAAACACAACTATATATTGTTAAACTGAACTCGTGAAACTTACAGATCTCCAAATGTACCAGAAGCAACTTTGTTTTCAAATTTCAACTTGCATGCATCAATTTCCCAATCATCAGTTCCATCCGTGGGTATCTTTACACATCCAGTAGGGTTAGATTCAGATGATGTTTGGCAAGGATTATCAGTAGGGGTCGGGATGAGTTGTGGCTGCTCCTATGAAATATTGCCAGCAGAATCATTAGCTGCTCATACTCTACAAATAATGGGCTGAGGAAAACAATTACCAATGTTAAAACATAGTGTAGAAGAATCGAGTGCGTATAAATATACAAAGGCATAATGCAACTACGTAGTAATTTACAAGGAGAATGGAGAATCACAATTGGCAGCTAATCCACTCTTTCAAATATGATGAGCAAGCATAAAAAGTTACCTTAATCTTCAATATTTGCTTTTTAATCTCAACCCTTAGCATCTCAGTTTCCTGAATATTCAAATGAATGATTAAGTACAAAGTAACACCACCCAAAGACAAAACGATGCTAACACATGTACGCCGTATATGCCCAAACTATACACAATTTTTCACTTCCAGACCTAAACCATAGATTAATCTATCCGACTCTTGGGCAAATAAAAAGAGCTCAAATTCCCAGTGCCCCCCCCATTCTCGTGGTATTCTACTGGGTTGTTGTTGTTGCTATCGTCAACTTCCCAGTGGCCAAAGATGTTTCAGGACGCGTGACATTATTATTTGAAAGGTTTATAGCTATGGAGTAGTATGTATTCCAATGTATACGGCTATCTAAAGATAGATCATGCTATACCTCATAAGGCCAGCCGTCAACTACAAAGACGTCCAAGGAGAATCCATCTGTAGTTGAAAATACATGAGCTTCTTCAATGTTGAGTCCAACCTCGGAAAGTATAGAAGTTAACTGCAAAACCAAAATGTGGTGATAAAAGGAGTGTTGAAAGGCTCAAGATGAAATAATACTGCTATTAAGTATTAATATTCAATTAACTAATCCTTTTAAGGAGAATATCAAAAATGAAAACATTTTTATGAAAAACTGGTTAGGGATGGCAAAGAACACACCTGAGCCAGAAGCTTTGGCTTGTCAACACTTGAAAAAGTGATCTCATGCATATGCCTGTGAAAGCAAACTTTTGATATAATTAGGTATATGACTATAAATAGGTTCGATTTTTTAAGAAACACCCATTAGTATGAGTAAAAGCCAATACACAAATAGGATTGGGAAAAGTGTCAATAAGCCATCGAACTTGGCACGATACTGGAATTGTACCCTAACAAATAATCTCCAGTGAAGATGTTACACTCAGGTAAAAAAGCAGTAGCAGAAAGTTTCATAATTTATAGGTAATTACAGCTTGCTGATCAGGTGGTCTGCCACTTGTAAATTTTATTTCTTCTTTCTAATGTGGATAAGAAATTGGGCCCGGAAACAAAAATACACCCTATGTAATCAGAACAAAAATAAATACTAGTAATAAAAACCTTAAGTTCATTCTTGCAGTCTTTCCCACCGGGCCACCCCTAAGTACTCGGCTGCTGCTGTTGATAAACACTGCATGTGGGCACCTCAAACAAGCAGCAGTGCGGGACAATGAATTGCACAGTGCTTTCAATCTAGATGCACCTGGTTACCAGGTTTCCATGAGGGATTCACCATGATATTGTCAGATGCCACAATTGACAGTCAGAATCATCCATGGAATCACCTCCTTCCTCGTCACATCCGTCATCAAGAAATAGCATGAAGAGAGATGTGAAAGCTAATCTATTGCCAAACATTTCTAAAACATTGTGCTTTGCAAATTTTTTATTTTATATTTTTATTGATGAGGACAAGAGTTTTGAAATTTTGTGGTGCCCAATGTTTTGAGTGGCTTATGAAATAATTTCTTCCCCGACATTTCCATCTGACAACAAAAACAGTGCCCAGGGAGAGACCTATGGATAGCAAGGCTGAGAGAAATACTTAACAGTATTGTGATGGGATTTCTATGGCTAGCCTGAGCTACAAAAAAGCCTGCGCTGAACCAATTTATGGCCCATTTCAAAAATAAGAATTAGAAATTCACGTGTTGTAGGCCACCTAATGAGGAGCTGATTGTTTACTAGCAAAATATGCCAATTGTTTTTTTCTCGAGTTTAGGAAATTCAGAGAATCAGAGGGTTTTTTTTAGTAAGAATGTGCAATTTCACTATCAAGTTGAATGGTTTATTGGGCACTTTCCTCCAAGCTAATTGCATGATGTACATGATAGTTTACCATTCGATTTTGCAACGAGACAATGACTATAGTCACCACACACAACTACCTCATTTCAGCACCGTCTTAAAATATGTTCCATGCAAGTGGAAATCCTTTTGATTTTGAAAGTTTGAGTAATTCATCTTATTATTCTTTTTAGCAGGCTGCCGAAAGATCATTTGACAATTTTTTTTCTGCATGAAGTAACATTGTTACTAAATAACTATAAATTTCATGCCTCTAATCTCAACGTAGCAGGGTTAAGGGTTTAAGAAAAGGATAGAGGTGATTAAAGCAAACCACAAAATATAATTGGAGAAATATTCCTCAATTTACAAGAGGGGAGAAAGGATTAAGAATCTAAATGCTTCTTGCATGTAACAGAGTAATAAATAAGAGATATTACAACAAGCATGCAGTGTTCTTTTCGTTGAATCTCCTGTAAGTAAATACTAACCAAGGCAATAATGTAAAATTGTAAAGCATGCACAAACAATTTAAATTTCACAATTTCTCCAACTCAAGCTGTAGTGGTCACCTGTGTGTCCGTGAAGTTGAATTGATATCACTCTCTACATCACTGACAGGAGCTTTTTCATCATGGAGTTCAAGGGCTTGAAGATTAGGTGAGGAGCCAAATGTTGGAGGGGGGTGCAAACTGTGGTGTTAAAAGCAAAGTGAAAATGAGACTGAACCATAAAGCAAATATGATCATAAACAGCAAATAAAATACCTTGGGAGTTCATCTTTTATAGTAGAAATCGTATCAATGGAATCTTGTGAAGCTCCACAGTGTACAGGATGAACCTACATTTGATATAGGAGAAACTGTAGGTGAACTAAGTGATACAAATGAAAATGAACCAACTCATAACAGAATTTTGACGTCGTACATCCAGATTGTGTCCTTCTTATAGCATCTTACTTCCAAATCCAATTAAACACAAAAAACTAGATGAACACCACATTTAAAATTATAAATCATTGGTGGCTAACTAAGCTTTTTGACGAGATTCTAAAATCTAAGAAGATGCCTAACGAATCAAGAATGGGCATTTTGATTCCTATTTACAAGAATAAGGGGGATATTCAAAGTTAAGCTCATGAGTCATATGATGAAGTTGTGGGAAAGAATGGTTGAACGAAGGTTGAGACAAGAGAAAACCAATTTGGTTTAATGGTGAGGACATGTACAATGGTGCTACAATTAAGGGTTGATCAAATGGTGAATAGACATGGGGCTAGAGGAAAAGGTAGATCTAAGAAGATTTGGCACAATGTGGTCAAGGGGGACCTTCATGTGTGAATGATAGGGCGCAATGACATTGTTTGATAGCCGACCCCACCTAGTGTATAAGGCTTTGTTGTTGTTTGTTTGTTTGTACTTTGTATGTCACCCTTTCTATTGTTCAAATGTTAGTTCTGGTACTACTAAAAGGGCAACATACTAACATTGGCCAGTGTACTGCAGTAATGACTAAAGAGTTACTACAAGGCAGAGTTAACAGGCACCTGCACCAGGCGGACTTCCAATGCTGGTCTTTTTCCCGGATCCTCAGCTAGATTCAGTAATCTTTTATGCATGAGCACATCTTCAGCCCTTTCAACATTCACATCCAATACATATCTGCATGCAACAAAATACTTCAAACATGATGTACAACCACGGTGCCACATACAGCCACCTAATATATTACTCGAATATATTAAGCCTAAATTCAATTCTGAAATGGAAGGCAAAAATGATAAAACTACCCAAGTCGTACACGCCGATGACCAATCCAAATGCCGACACAAACAGAGCAGGTAGAAATGCGAGCATGCAAGAAGAGGTTTATCGATACAAAATCTAGGGTTTACGAAGTCAAACCTAGCAGGCAAGCGGTTGAAATGAAGCCAGAGCTGGTCTTCGAAGCCGGGGAGTTTCACTTCATCAAGGCTCGAATCCCGGAGCCGACTCAGCACCTCGGAGAAGACCTCAAACCGCTGCCTCTGCTGCCAGGAGTGCTTAGGCGACGACGGCTCCACCGCGCGGCTCCCGCAACTCTCGTTGTCGTCGATCGCCATTCCGGAACTTCTCCAGTTACAAGAGAAGAAAACAAGAACAGTAGTAGTAGCTACAAGAAATCAAGATTCCTCTGCGCGGTCGCGAAATCGAGGACGATGGAGAGGAGAAACCGGATGAATTTGGATTTGTGGATGAGAATTTGATCGGATTCGATGGGGGGAGGAGGCGAGAAGGATCCAGGGGTGGCGACGGTGGTGGTTTTGGGATATGGAGAGGAAAGATTCTAAAATCCTAATTTTCCCATGCGGGCGGTTTTGGTGAAGTGCGACAGAGGTGACTTGTGAAGGCGAGAATACATAATGGTGGGCCCTTCTTTTTTTTTTATAAGTCTGACTCGTCAGTGAGTCCCAACTTATCCACTATTCCCTCCCTTCCCATTTAATCTCTATACTCCCTCCGTCCCAATTTATTTGCAATACTTCCAACAATGTACAAAATATTATCTCTTTTAAAATCACTTTAATTTTAAATTGGTAGAGTAATAAAAAGTAAAAATTACACCATTCAAAAGTATATGAAAAGCTCTACAAAACAAGATGCGACAAGAATATTTTATTTTATCAAATGATCAACCAAAACGAGTAAACAAACAAAAGTTATCGATAGACCAGAATAGTAAACATGACATTCTTTCTGGGACGGAAGGAGTATTTGATTTTTTCTGATCAAAATTTATAAATTTGGCTTCAATTTATGATATGAATATATTTTATTTTTATATAAATTTAATATCAATAATTTTATTTGGAAACAAAATATTTAAATATTAATTTTTTATAAAATATATCTCTATATAAATAGAGATATTAATTATCAAAGTATTAATGGAGGAGTGGCCACCACCATGTAGACGTCACATGGCTTTTCCCTCATCACTCCAAAGTGTGTTGTGGTGAGTGGCTTGACCGGGTTAGAGTATATTACTTCGGGGTATTCATTAATGATTATTTTTCAAAATTTAAGGGTGTTATTGGTTTGTGCATTAACTTAAAAATTAAAATATTAATCTAAATATAACTCAAAATAAATGCATTCATTACAAAAAAATTACAAAGAAAAAAAGAAAGTACAACGAAAAATAAAATAGCAACGAAAAAATTACAACGAAAAAAATAAAAAAAAACAATGAGAAAAAAATTATAACGAAAAAATATACTTCTTCTGTCTCATAAAGTCATTCCCATTTCAAAATTGTGTCCCTTAAAGTCATTCTCATTTATATTAAAAAAATCACTTTTACTCCTTCCTTTTTCATTCCCTATCTATCACATCATACCTTTTTTCTAATAATCTACACATCATATCCTACTTTTACACATCACATCAAAGGTATTTTTGGAAAGTCAACACAAAATTATTTCTCCTTATTTTACCACTTTAGTCAAAATGTCCATATCTTTATGGGACAGAGGGAGTATTAAACTAGTTGTCAATGTTCATTTCTCCTTGATTTTGGCATCGTCTTCTATGTGTCTTCTCTAGCGTCCGGTCAAGTGATCGATTGGAGTCCACAACAAGCACAAGTTGTTGTATTGTTTTTCTTGTGGAAGATCAACAAACTTTTTCTTATACATTGTAATCTCATCCAGTTTTTCATGAGACATGCTACACTCTCGAGGACAATTGTTTATAAAAAACTGAATTACAAACAAAAAGTACAAAAAAATTTTAAAAATAGGCTTAAAAAAGTAACACGTTACATATTCAAAGTACTAAAAATACTTAAAAATAGGTCTTACATTTACATATTCCAATCGCTAAAAAACGTTTTAAAAAGTTTTACATTTATACATTCAAAATACTAAAAAAAAGGTTTCAAAAAATAAAAACGTAAAACGTAAGGATCTGAGGATCACCAGAGGCGTCAACATAGGCTTGGGCGAGGGCAACCTCCTCTGCCTCGGTCCATTTGGTCAGCTTCTTTGTTTTCTCCACCACATCCTTTTCTTGTGTTTTCTCTTCTGTTGGAAGGTGCCAACTCAGAATCATTGGCGGGTTGGGATTGGGATGGTGGTTTGTCTTGTGTTTTGGGAACAAGATCGTTCCCAAAATCGTTCATGGTTGGAACCAATTTGCATAGTTATGCATTGGGTTTGTCGGAGATTTGGAGCTATTAGGATTATTCGGGTCTATCTGTAGTCCATAGCAATTAAAAAAGAATGAGATATGGGTAGGTTGAGTGGTTGGGATCCATGTTGAAGAGTTGAGAAAGAGTAGTGTAGAATTGTTTTGATGAGCAGAAAAGAGTAGAGTTGTGTGGATTTTTTTAGATAATTGTAGATAAAAATTTAAAATAAGTATTTGAAAAAGTATAGCCAATGGCTCTTTCCGAGCCCAACAACATTTGTGACCACAATCCCGCCCTTAATGTCACGCCTCAGTCACGCCGCCTGAGTCATGGTAGTCACAGTGTGACGGGACGTGACAGGCCTAAAAACATCGTGCGTCATGCTTCATTATAAATGGTTGACATCACGGCACAACTCATTTCTTTCAAAAAAATATTTTTTTTATTGAATAATGATACTCCATTCTTCACACTAAAAAGTGTAGACCAGGTATACACCATGTTTTACACTGGCACATACTGACACAAATTATTACCGTGATAGTGATATTTTTGTGATAGTGTATGTCAGTGCAAAATGTGGTCTATACTTGGTGTACGAGTAATTAAGTGGGAGTTACAATTGTCATTTTCATATTATGTAGTACTACAATGAATGTCTCAAAAAAAGTATGAAAATGTAAGATTCAAAGAACAATTCAATTTGCAACACGTTAGTTTGAAATATGTGATTTCATGGATTATGTGAATCCTAGTCCCTAGAAGAAGATTTGTGGAGTGATAAAAAAAGAGTGAGTGCAATAAATTTCAAATTTGTTTATTACTGAAGGGGTCATCAATTTTACTAATGGAATACTAGATTCCCAAGTCATATTATAACATTGATAATTACTGTCAAAAGAACCAAACTGATGCCATATGTACTCCAAAAATTATTATAAATGTGAAATGATTAAATACAACTTTTGAAGTGTAGATAGCAAAAAACAATTTGTGTGTTGTTATCCTTAATTTAAGTCAAAATGATGCCCATATTATTTCAATAAAAATAAAATGATTTTTTTATTAATATTATCCGCCAATTGAGAAAACACATTAAGGGGCTGTTTGTTTCAGCCTCTTAATGGTTCAGATGTCTGAATGGTTGAGCACTTAATAGTTCAGACTGTTTGTTTCAGCCTCATAATGGTTCAGATGTCTGAATGGTTAAGAGATTTGCCTCTGAATGGTTAAGTATTATACAGAGTCTGAACGGTTAAGACCTCTTATCTGAATTGATCAAACATTTGCCTCTGAATAGTTAAGCAACATACTAGCTCTTAATAGTTCAGACCTCTTACTAGTTTAGCACTTAATGGTTCAGACCTCTTACTGGTTCAGCACTTACCTATTCAGAAGTTGCCAAACAGCCCCTAAAATTATTTGATATTGAACTCTGGCAAGTTTGAGATTATATTAAGTTGTTGTTGATCTAGTTGAGACTTGAGACCATCGATATCCATTAAGGTATAGGTCAACCAAAATCTTGAGTAAGAAAAGTGTACTGTATATTATTTCTTTTAATAAAGCACTGCATTTTTATTTTTATTATACGTTGATTGATCAAACACATTGAAATATTTTAATATTGGTTCCACCAAGCCTAATAGAATTGATATTATATTGGGATATTTTTGTGGTTGAACTAATTGAAACTAGACCTGGACACAGTTACACAGCTCCGAACCAGAACCGCCAATTATGGAACTGAAACAATTGGAGCGAGTAGGTGGAACTGGTACCAAACCTTTTCAGACGATACCGATTCCTGACAGGCATCGGTAGCGGTACATCTCATCGACGGTTCCAAAACCGACATTTCTAGAACCGGAATCGGCCCGTGTCTAACTCTAATTGAGACCATCTCTATTAAGGCATTAGTGAACCAAAACCAGAGTAAAGAAAGAGAACCATTTCTATTTGTATTGATAGTTTGATACAATTATCAAGTGTCTACAATGGTAAGTAAGCTTTACAATACCAATCAAACAAATGAATGTTTTTTTATTTATTTTGAAGAAAGAATCAAATAAATGAATGTTGAATTACAAATCCAATAAAATTTGTACTCTAGACTATGCTCCCACTTACCCTTGTGGAGGATGATTTCCCTATTTACCCTTCACATTCACTTTGTACTCTAGGCTTTTTGCATTTCTACACCCTAATTTTCGTGGACCTCGTCAGAGAAGATCTATTCACATGTATCATATACATACAAAGAAGTAATCATCTGAACTATTATCAGGTTGTCAAGATATCAGGAATGGCAGGAGAGTGGGCTCCCATCACTTTGCCCCCGACATCGGGAAAATCTTCAAACCCGGGTAGTGAACTTACTTTCCCATCTTTATCCACATTTAGAGGATATTTCATCAGATGACCCTGCAAGGGGATGGTGAAACTCTCTTCTGTGTATCTTTTCCAGTTATCTCTGGCAATGTCATTCACTCTCCTAACGCACTCCAGTGTCTCCGGTTCTATGAAAAGACCCTCCACTCCTCCGAGGTGTTCTTTCCACAATGACATTCGGTATCCATAGACCTGGGGACGAACGATTCAATATTCTAAAACAAATCTATTCTCAAGGAACAATGTGTACTTGTTTTTGTGATAAATCAAACAAGGATGTGAACCTGTCCGCGAGGGCGATGCAGCTGTTTTGCGCAAGTATGATAGGGCTGATAGGCTCCCATAGCTATCTCCGTGTCTTTGGAGCCGGCCATGGATCGTTGGTTTATGTTGGCAGATCCCAATATGACATACTCATCATCAACTATCATTCCTTTGGCATGCACATATATCATGAACCGCTGATACTTGAGCGAGTCTGAAACCTGAAAAACATGTCAACGGAACTTGTTGGATTTTGATGGCTAAATGACTAACTCTGCAGCATGTAGCTCCTGATTTCAGCACACAAGTCTAAGGCATTGATGAAGAGATTACCTTTTCTTTTTCGCTAGTTTCCTGCCTAGCAGAACTTGGAAGAACATCTTCCCTAGTACCAAGACAATAGAAATTCAGATAGTCCAAAGGATCTGCATCTAGTTGCATCGACTTAATTTCTTTTGAAATGACTTTATACATCATCTCCATTGTTTGGCTCTGTAGAAACGCAATGAATAATAAGGAATGACTAGCAAAAGCAGTAAAAGCCCATCCACGCAATCAAGAAACCAGGACTG